GGGCAGAAGATGGACAATCGGAGCGTTGTGATGTAGGTGTATTTGATTTGGAAAATGGTTCAATAGGACCACTGGGGGAGTTTCCTCAATTTTCCAAGCTGTTCTGGCCACCACCTCGTTGGATTTCCTCAACAACATTGGATGTGAGTATTTTACTTTGAATTCTTGTGATTTTGGTTGAGTTTTATTTGCTTTCAATTCCCTATAGCTATTGCAATTTTGATGAAGATTCAAATTTCAAATCGAAGAATCATGCATTAAATTGGTCAATAATTTATAATTTAAATTTGTCGAGGATTTTGTCTTTTGCAAATGAGAATCCTCATAATTTTTTCCAATGAAAAGGCAAGTACATTATGCATTGGAACTCCTGACTTAAGAGGAATCATGGAAAGAACAAGCACGAAATCATGGCCAACTCCTTGAATATGTTGTGAATCTCATGTTCTGTTATGTGATTACCATTTGTCTATTAAAGTCATGGACTGTCGACAATAGAGGAAAGCACAGATTTGATGGTATGGCCTTGTTAATTTGAAGCTATGTCTTGAAATGGTGACCGTTGATGCTATGCATTTAATGTTAACTTACTGAATAAGCCAAAGAGCAATCTTCATGTTAGATGACTCTTGAGTAGCTGGATGTAGTTAGCGTGTGGATTTCTTCGCATAGCCGCTATTCTATCAGTTTAAGATTGTTTACTTTGACTTTTTGTTGCAATTTGGATCCAAATTCCCTTTGGATTATAGCTGTATGCACTCTGTTCCTGAGGTGGTCACCAAGTTGTCAACTCATAAATGCACATTTTCCATGTTATTGCTTTGACTGTGAATTGAGGATATTTGCCTCTTGTAACTAGTATTCCTGCAGTAAAAGCTGATTTGGTGAACGCAACAGGCACAAATAAACATTGAAGGATCGCCTAGGACATATTGTACTTCTGCTTCACGGTTGGGTTGTATTTGCCTGATTATCTAGCTATGGGTGCTCTTTGTATTTGCATTTGAGATTTGAAGAATTTGGCTGCTCATTTAGCACATCCAGCCAAAAATCTGTCTTTATTTGGATTGCTTACTCGTGGGGCAACAGAAGCTGCTATCATGACAAGAAACGCTTTTAATGCTTAGGGAGTTCAATCAGCTAATAGTTCCACTGTTCCCTCATGACCAGATCTGTTGGTGACTTGGCGGTGTCCCAGTTCCTTTGAAGGTTTTTCTTTTCCTTTCTAGCTTTTAGCACAGGGGTCTAAGCAAGCTACTTCTAATTCAGTATGAACTGATTGTCATTTTCTTCCAGGATAACATTGAGGCTGTATCTGTTCCTCCACATCATCTTCAATTTAATCCCTTATCTTGTCACATGCACATGCATTTGTACAGACTCATCTTAATTTGACAATTGTAAGCAGCTGATTATGGAAAATAGTATAACAGTAGACAAAACAACTCTGCAGTCAAAGTTATTCTCTTGAAAGCTGTTAAAGAGTAAACCCTTTTAAGGGTATTCTGTTTCTTTTTTTAGTTACTTTTTCAGTATTTTAAAAGCCGAAAACAAAAAGGCAGAGAACAAAGCTTTCTTTTGCCTCTTGTCCCTTATAAAAGCAAAAGAAAAACGTTTTCATGGGTAACTGGCTGGCAACACTTGCCCATTTAAAAGAATCCTGGATGGTCTGTAGGATCCATCAGGTTGCGCTGATTCAGCCCAATTTTTACACCACCTTGAAGTAGGCTCAAATCCACCGACTTCTGATTTATTTTTTCATTTTTTTTCCTTAATTTCTTGTTTCTTAAATTGTAAAGTTCCTTAAAGTGGCAGCAAGCGTCCCTCGCCAAGTCCCTTAGTGAAGCTTGAACTGGACTATGTGCTCTGACAATTTGCTGTGCTATGCTATTATGTGTAATCTTTGTCTCCAAATGCAGATGCAAGACAAATTTCCCAAGCTATAATTATTGTTTGGCCTGACATCTTTACTTCTCTAGTTGCACCTTGTCATGCCATGAGGCATATAAAAATTTATTTAGTACAAAAAGTACAGTATATTAAATTTTAATTTTTATAAATAAGAATAATTTTACAAATTAATATTACATTTTCATTAAATTATGTGTAAATCAAACATTGTAATATATCTTCTTAATACTTTAATCAATGCACTCTTAATATAGTAAATGTTGCAATGCTGCAATACTATTTTCTCAATTTTCTGTCATCTTCAATTGAATCCCTTGTATTGTCACATGGACATGCATTTGTACAAACTTATCCTAATTGCCAATTGTTAGCAGCTGAATACAAAAAAAAAAAAATGCTATAACAGGAGACAAAACAACTCTGCAGTCAATATTAGTTTGTTGAAAAACTGTTAAGAGCAACCTTTTTTAAGGGGCTTTCTTTTTCTTTTCGAATTACTTTTTCAATATGATTTAATTCATTTTCAAAACCTCAAAACAATAACACTTAAAGGTAAGATGTTTTTAAAAATAACCATCTTTATAATTTTAACTATTTTTAATCAAGTTAGATAAAAGTACACGTCATGATGTTATATGCCATATATAAAAACATGTTACACGTTACGGTTAGGTTGTTATACGCTATGTATAAAAACATGTGATATGTCATGCTTAGATTGTTACACGTTATGTACAGAAACATGTTACATGCTATGGTTAGGTTGTTACATGTTATGTACAAAAACATGTTACACGCCTAACTTAACATGCCATGATGTTATATGCCATGTATAGAAGCATGTTACACGTTATGGTTAGGTTGTTATACGTCATGTACAAAAACTTGTAACATGTCATGGTTAGGTTGTTACACGCCATGTATAGAAATATGTTACACGTTATGGTTAGGTTGTTATATGCTATGTACAAAAACATGTGACGTACCATGGTTAGGTTGTTACACACCATGTACAAAAACATGTTATACGCTATGTTTAAGTTGTTACATGTCCTATACAAAAAATGTGACACGTCCGGGTTAAATTGATACACATCATGTATAAAAACATATTACACGTTATGTTAAAAAAAAATATTGTTGTTACATGTTTTTGTACAAAAAAATATTGTTGTTACACGTCATGCACAAAAACATGTTATACACCATGGTTAAAAAAGGTTGTTACACATCATGTTGTAAAAAAAATACTGTTATTACACGTCATGTTTCAAAAATATTATTGTTACACGTCATATTCAAAAATATTTTATTACACTTCAATACCTAAACTATTGTTGTTACTTACAAACCTAAACTTTAAATACTTTCAACTTTATTTATTTATTTTTTTGATAATTTGACACTGATTAAAGTATTTCTAATATGTTTTTGTAAATCAAAATATAAATTTTTTTTATCTAAAACAACTCTTTTGACTAAAAAAAAATTGAAAACCTAGGTTCATAAATTTTAAATTTTTTAATTCATTAGTGTCTAGATCTCGAATTGATACAATTAAAAGCTATTTCAAACATGTATGATCATTTCTATTGTTTAGTTTTATGCAAAATATTTAAAAATCAAAATTTTTAAATAACTATCTACTCAAACACATTAAAACTATTATTTGATGTCTTCAAAATGCTGGAAAGAGAATTATGAAAGTGCAAGGGAGAGAAATCAGAAACATAGTAAATAAATGCTGAAAAAAGAAATGAATAAAATTAGAGAGAATGAGATAGTGAGAGAGAAAAAATCGAAAGTATAAATAAAAAAAATTATGATAAATAATTTAATTTATTTAAAGTAATTGTAAATGTATTTTTATCAAGTTATAATTAAATATAATTAAAAATAATTAAATTTATTTTGATGATTATTTTTAAAATATTTTTATTAAGATTATTTTTTATAATGTTTTTAACAGTAAAGCTGACAGTAATGCTTTTCTTTCGGCAAAAGACAACATTTCATCGTCAGAGCCCATTTTAGTAGTCAAAAGTTTAACTTCTTCGGCTTCTTGCCCTCTTCAGTAAAGCTTAAGGGCCTGTTGTCAGACGAAGGCCATGAAAATGATCCATCTTTTCGAAAAAAAAAAAATTCTTGAACTGTTAAAAGTGATTATATCCAACGCTCTTTCGGCAAAATCAGAGACGGGTCCATGCCTATCCGACGCCAATCTCTGCCAGATTATTTGTCTGAATATCATTGATCTCAAGCACAGGTACAAATTACTAAAATAAGAAACCATTTAGCTGACCTTGTGTTTCAGATTTGTTTCATCCAAATCGGTTTTGGTTTTAGTGGAACGAGAAGATCGGTATCAAACAA